GGGTATTTTCCCACGTCATTATAGTTGTGCTTTTAAAGTTGTAGCAACGTTTCGGCAGAATCTCATCTGCCATCATCAGGCTTCTGTATAGTGTTCGTCTGTGAGTCAGACTTTCACAGCTGTTTCTGTTTTAAATTTGGTGCTGGCCTATGCTGTGCCAGAATGGTTTTTTTCTTCATCCTGATTGGTTGGGAGTCTTGGTCTGTGTTCTGCTTGATTGGTGTTTCTAATATCTTCTGTCTGTTTTGTAGCTTTTTTTGTCTTGATTGGCTGGCAACATTGTGTTTCCTGTATTGGAGGCTTTTAGTGCGGCTTGGCTCCAAGTAAATGGACGACTATCATTTATTAGGAAGCTAGGTTTCATCTGGGTGCCTGGTTGGGGTGTGTTTGAGCTGGAGGTATCAGGGGGAGTCTGTTTGTGCCTAGGTGTTTGCCTGGCTTGTGGTGTGGAGATTTTTTTGTTTGAGAGTGCAGGCTTCCAAATAATTGACAGTCTGGTGGAGTCATCTCTTCTATTCATGCTTTCAGGTCTTTTTTCAATCTCTATGGCTTCTCTGATAATTCTGTAGCTGGGGTTTTCTATAGTGGCTAGGGTTTTGGTGCCATTGAAGTCGATGCTATGACCTGTGGCTTTCATGTGTTGGACTAGTGAGGAAGTGTGTTCCAGCTTTTTTACTGCATTTCTGTGTTCATCTATGCGGGTACTTATTCTTCTATTGGTCTAGTACCCGCCTTTTGTCTCATCTTGACTGGTGAAAATCCAGCAAATCCTGCTCCTGTTCTTTATCCTTACTCTGTATCAAAGTAGATTGGGAGTAACTACATTAAAAAAAAAAGAAACTAGACTAGTTTCAAATATATAAGTGATTTAACGTAGAATACATTGTGTGTCTGATCAGGCAGTTTGAAACTTTTCCTCCCCATCCATAAAATATCAGCATCAAAACTGCTGATCTGGAAGAATTTGGCAGATAATGCAAAGAGAGAAAACAGAGTTCACTTTTAGAATGGAAAAGAAAAACAATATTTTGAACCTTTTAGTACTGAGAACAATTTTCTACTTTTTTTTTAAGGAGTGAGGACAATAATAGAAAGTTTGTGGGCTGTATCTCATTCAGGTGTTATTAGAACATTTGCTGTTCCAATGACTGAGGGGCTCCGACAAAGAAGGGCTCAATCTAATTTCCAAAGCACCAAAAAGCTAGACAAGAAAAAGTTGGAAACTAAGTAAGGAGAGAAGCAACCTAGAGCTAAGAAGAAATTTCCTCATGGTGAGAGCTATCGACCAAAGGAACAACTTGCCTTCAGAAGTTGTAGGTGCTCCATCACTGGAGGCTTACAAAAAGAGACCGGGCAACTATTTGTCTGAAATAGTACAGAGAAGGGGATTGGACTACAAGACCTCCAAGGTCCCTTCCAACTCTTTTATTCTATGTTTTATGCCATTTCTTAGAAAGCTTATTTGAAGGCCACCACTACGATTCTGATGCATTTTCCACGCCAGTATGAAATATAGCGGAAAAATAGTGATTATTCACACTTAATACATTTTGAGGTAGATGTTAATCACTAAAATATACTATGCAGCTTTCCCTATTCATATATTTTTTTTTTGAAAAAAATCAGGAGGGCCAGTAATGGAAGTTGCTATCATTTGGTTGACTTTCTTGACAAAGCTACATGAGTAAGGCAGTTATTGACAAAAATAGAACTGGGAAACTTTAATAAAATCTACCCCTGGTGATTCAAACGATGCTGTTGCTGCCCTCTTGCAGTGTCTGGAAGTTGGGAAGGTTTTGATGGGAGATAACAGGCTTCAGCTGAATCTTGGCAAAACTGCCTGGCTTTGGATGTATGGAGCTTTGAGATCCAGGACTTTAACATTAGTTCTGGATGTGGTTGCACTCAGACAGACTCGGTCTACAACTTGGATTTTCTCCTGGACTTGTGACTTCTGCTCAAAGAGCAGATGGCAATTAGCAGTGGCCTTTCCTGGATTGAGAGTTCCTATGCTCAGTCACTCAAACTCTGGTTGTTTGAACTACTGCATCCAGCTTTGTCACTACAATGTAAAAAAAATGTTGAGTCTTTAGGAAGAGTGCAAAGAGGAAGACCAACAAAGATGATTAGGAGGCTAAAACATATGAATTGGGTATGCTGGAATTGGGTATGTCTAGTTTAATGAAAAGAAGGACTAGGGCATGACATGATAGCAGTGTTCCTATATTTGAGAGGCTGCTATAAAGAAGAGGGAGTCAAACCATTCTTCAAAGCACTTGAGGGCAAGAAGCAATGAGTGGAAACTAATCAAGGAGAGAAGCAACTTAGAACTAAGGATAAATTTCCTGACAGTTAGAACAATGGACCAGTGGAACAACTTGGCTCCAGAAGTTGTGAATGCTCCAACACTGGAAGTTTTTAAGAAGGGATTGGGCAACTATTTGTCTGAAGTGGTGTAGGGTTTCCTGCCTGAGCAGGGGGTTGGACTAGAAGACCTCCAAAGTCCCTTCCAACTCTGTTATTCTGTTATTCTACATGGGGCTACCTTTGAAGATCGCTTGGAAATTATAACTGGTGCAGGTTCAGGCAGTTCTTAGGTCCCCTCAAATGGCCCA